AAGGTACATTTCGCATCATGTCATGCGACAGTCTTTAATGAATTCTTTTTAAAGCGATAGGATGCCCACAACATCGTGTTCTATAATATTTCACGTCGTCGGAGATGATTCTTCGATTTACCGTCGATCACATCATTCAAAAATTCGTCAATTTTTAGGCACATTTTTAGGCACACGTCAATTTAGGCTCAAAAATTCGTCAATTTAGACAATAACGAACCATTACGCACAGGTGATGACCTCGCATAAGTGTGTTGTACTGGAGGCACTCCATATTGTGCTTGGGTGAATGCTTTCAACAATGAGAGCAGCCAAAACGCTGCACTCCACATCTGTAGTTGCTGAAAATGAAATTCACGCTCAACTTTTCGTTTTCCTTTTACCACGAATGTAATCAGAGCTTTGCAACGTAATTCAACAATTCAATTCAAATAGCGAAACTAATATCGATGCTCTGAATAAGCGAACCTAGAGAAATAACTGAATTAATTAAGCACAACTAAGAAATGACCAACTCAATTTTGCAAAATCCGAACGAAATAATATCTGTTACTGAAATGATTGAACAGTTAAATAACAAATGCAACATATCAAGCATTAAGACAGACAAAAATCACGGCAGATATCACGAGAGTAACCATACGGAGGAATACAGTTTTAGTAATTGGACGTTTACTCTCTTTATTTTTCAGTTGATCAAACTATGAAATGGCGATCGGAGATAAAGTAATTCAGGGAGTACGAAAATACTGCAGAATAAATGTGGCGATAGGAACAGTAAAATGGGTGAACATTCAGTAATGGGTGAACCAGATCTCTAAATATTTCTGGCCTTTTCGGTGATTGGACAAATTGCTTCTGCTGTGCAACAATCGCCTGCAGAACATAAACCGTATTTCAAGAACAGACTTCATATTCTATTCGAAAAGCATCTATAGAACTGTTTTCATGATGAGAGACGATAGTGATGCTGACCAGAAGGCCACAAAATCATGAACTATTGGCATTCGTTCGCTCCAATGAAGTAAACATGCTTAAAAATAACGCCAATCAACTTATGATTCTTTCTGGTCCGTCTAATGAGCAACAACGGAACGTTGCACCAGCACGAAAATGATTCCGTGTTAATTTGCGTCCATTCACCCTCTATTAAAATTCTATTAAATTAACGACCTTCGCGATAACATTTATTAATTTCAGTGAAAACTTTTATGGGAACGTGACGAATGCAAAACACTCACAAAAACATGTTTCGTTAATGGGACTAAACGTGAGTACGCCACCGCACTTTCGCTTTGGTAATGGAATACATTCGAACGATCTGAACGTTTACCGAAAACGCATTTAATTTCCTTGTTAGATGCATATACGCTATCGCTCAATGCAGAATTAAACCAATCTGCAAAAAAAGTGTCAGTCTAAAATCTAAATCTATCGGAATCTACCTAAGTCTAAATCGGAGTCAATCTAAAAATCGGAAATATGGATTTTCTTTGAA